GAACTGCTCTCCGCTAGAGGGAGGGACGGCTTACACCGGGCCACCACATCTAAAGACCATTTGGCCACCTTACGGCCCTGGGCGTGTTCGGGCAGCGAATTTACAGCGCACTAAAGGCCACGCGGCTGCCTCCGTCACTTAAAGTGCCCCTGGAATACTTGCTGAAAACTGGATACTGCTCGGACAGCACCCGCCCAATGAGATCGGCTCAGCCTTTCCAGGCGACCTCATTCACGCCTCTAAGCCTCCAAGTCTCCAAGCTTCTCTCGGCATGCTTGCGACAACGGTGTACTTGTCCAAAACACCACGACTCTACGGCGCTCAACCTGTTGATCGCAAAATATCAACACCACTGGCGTGACCGGACGATACAGCTCACCGTTGCGTACACTTGAGCGCTCACGCCATCTTACTCTTTCCTACCGAAGCTATCCGATGCAGCTCTCCGAGCAACAGCACAGGCACCCTCGACCGAACTCTATCACGACTTCCCGCACTGCGGCATCTGCCTAAAAAGTTGCTCTTTGCATATACCTCCTCCCAATGCGGGCGGGATGCCTTCTCCAACCTCCTATCGTTCCGCGGACCCGCCAGGCTCTCCAGGGAATGATTCCGATTCAGACCTCGATCTCGACATCCAGGAGCTCGATCCTGCCACTACCACAACCGATCGCACCTCTGGCCTCCTCCGCCACGACCGTCAGACCACCGAACATCGATCGCCACGTATAGCACTGCGGAATCTACGCATGGGGGGCTCACGCCGAGCCGGACAAAAGGCCAGGGGATATGGCCAACTTGGCCAGGACCGAGATGGCACCAGCGAGGATGCTGAAGCACTTCTCGGTGAACCCGGAAGCTCTTCATCACGATATAGAGATGGGACCGCTGGTGCAGGCTCCGACGACGACTCTCCTCTCTTACCCGGTGGCTCGCCTCCGAGGCGTCGATCCTTCGCCGGGGACAGATTCGAGCGACTTACCTCTAGCATAAGATTACCGAGCTTCATGTCGAATTCAGGGGCGCAAGAAGCGGACAAGGACGATGCCCAGGACCAAGACGAAGACGATCCGTCCAGCGCCCGCCTCATTGCTGTAGGATCTTCCCAAGCGACGAGATTCCCGCCGAACCTTATATCGAACGCCAAGTACACAGCCCTTACGTTTCTACCCGTCACTCTGTACAACGAATTCTCCTTCTTCTTCAACATGTACTTTTTGCTCGTGGCTTTATCGCAAGCGATTCCTCCATTACGGATCGGTTACCTTACGACTTACGTGGCGCCTTTGGCATTTGTGCTCTTCATTACCATGGGAAAGGAGGCGTACGACGACATCGAACGAAGACGAAGAGACAACGAGGCCAACGCAGAAGCATACACAGTCTTGTCATTCGATGAGCCAGGCCGTGGCATGGGTTCTGCACAACGGACACACAAGAGGCTCAAGTCGGATTCCATGAGGAAGAAGGGCAAAAACTTGGCGGGCCTGAGAGACAGACTCTCGGATATTCAAGAGGAAGAAGAGCGAGCTGAGGGAGACGGATCTATCGCCCAGCCATCCTCGTCAGTCCGTGAGGTCAGCCGTAAATCGCGCGACCTCAAAGTCGGCGATGTTCTTGTTCTAAGCAAGGGTCAACGAGTTCCTGCCGACGTTGTGATTCTGAAATGCATCACATCAGAAACAACTACCGAAGCGCCGGTGATGGAGGTGATTGCGGAAGAGGAGTCGTTACTAGTCGATGCTGAAGAAGAGCAGTCCAAAGCCCTACCAGTTTCCGATACCAAGGGCAAAGAAGCCGAGAGCAACGACGCTGGCGGCGGTGCCGCTGGCGAAACATTCATCCGAACTGATCAGCTTGACGGAGAGACAGACTGGAAGTTGCGTCTGGCGTCCCCCTTGACGCAAAACTTGACCACGGAGGAGTTTGTCCGCCTACGTGTAACCGGAGGCAAGCCGGATAGGAAGGTCAACGAGTTCATCGGCACAGTCGAGCTGCTATCCAGCAAACGGGATGCCCAAAGCCAGCAAGGAGCGCTTGACGGGGGTGAAGGCACCTCGGCCCCGTTGTCGATAGACAACACAGCCTGGGCGAACACAGTAATCGCCTCCAACGCCACTACTCTCGCTGTCATCATGTACACGGGACCTCAGACGAGGTCAGCGCTGTCGACTGCCCCATCACGGTCCAAGACCGGACTCTTAGAATATGAGATCAACTCGCTCACCAAGATTTTGTGTGCCTTGACTTTGGCGCTTTCCATTGTCCTTGTGGCGCTGGAAGGCTTTGGAAACACCAAAGACAACGTTTGGTACATCAAGATTATGCGTTTCCTTATTCTTTTCTCGACTATTGTGCCCATCAGTCTGCGTGTCAACCTCGACATGGGCAAGAGCGCTTACTCTTGGTTCATTCAACGAGATCCCGGCATTGCTGGAGCTGTTGTGCGAACGAGCACGATCCCGGAAGATCTCGGAAGAATCGAGTATCTACTCAGCGACAAGACTGGCACGCTGACCCAAAACGAGATGGAAATGAAGAAAATTCATGTCGGCACCGTCTCCTACGCGAACGAGGCCATGGACGAAGTCACGTCGTACGTCAAGCAAGGGTTCCACATTCAACCTACTACCGACCCTTCGTCGCACACGATGTTGATCACGCCTTCTTCGACATTTGCCAACTCGTCAAACGTGGGTGCTACACGCACAAGAAGAGAAATTGGCACTCGTGTCCGAGACGTAGTTCTCGCTCTGGCTCTGTGTCACAATGTGACGCCAACAACAGAGGAAGAAGACGGAAAGACCGTCGTTTCTTATCAGGCCTCCTCTCCTGACGAGATCGCCATTGTTCGCTGGACAGAATCCGTCGGTCTTCGCCTCGCCTATCGCGATCGCACCAGCATGGTTCTTGAGTCAACAGAGAACGGCCGTGAAATTGTCCGCGTGCGTATCCTCGACGTCTTCCCCTTCACATCCGAGGGCAAGCGCATGGGTATCATTGTTCAGTTTTTCGATCAGACTCAGTCTACGGTGCCAAATCTCGCCAATAGCGAAATCTGGTTCTATCAGAAGGGTGCTGACACAGTCATGAGCCCCATTGTGGCCGAGAACGACTGGCTTGACGAAGAAACCTCCAACATGGCTCGAGAGGGCCTGCGTACACTTGTCGTTGGCCGGAAGCGCTTGTCTTACGAGCAATACAAGGAGTTCACTGGGAGCTACCAAGCGGCTTCTTTGGCTATCGCTGGACGAGACGCTGGTATGCAACGTGTTGTGGCTCAGTACTTGGAGCGCGATCTGGAGCTTCTCGGCGTCACTGGTGTAGAGGACAAGCTGCAAAAAGATGTCAAGCCATCTCTAGAGCTTCTGAGAAACGCAGGCATCAAGATTTGGATGTTGACTGGTGACAAGGTTGAAACAGCTCGCTGTGTCGCCGTCAGCTCCAAGCTTGTCGCTCGTGGCCAGTACATCTACACCGTTTCCAGGCTTAAGAAGAAGGACAACGCGCAAGATCACCTCGATTTCCTCCGTGGCAAGACGGATTCTTGTCTCTTGATTGATGGCGAGAGTCTGGCCCTCTTCCTCACCCATTTCAGGATCGAATTTGTGTCCGTGGCTGTGCAACTCCCGACGGTTGTCGCATGTCGATGCTCGCCCACGCAGAAGGCCGAAGTCGCCAAGCTGATCAGGGAGTACACTAAGAAGAGGGTCTGCTGCATTGGTGACGGAGGCAACGATGTTTCCATGATTCAAGCAGCAGATGTCGGTGTTGGTATTGTGGGCAAGGAAGGTCGGCAAGCTAGTTTGGCGGCAGACTTCTCGATTGAGCAGTTCTACCACCTGACTAAATTGCTGGTCTGGCACGGGCGCAACAGTTACAAGCGCAGTGCTAAGCTCGCTCAGTTTGTTATCCATCGTGGATTGATCATTGCGGTCTGCCAGACGATGTACAGTATTGCCATCAAGTTTGAGCCCGATGGTCTCTACAAGGTATGTTGACTTCTGATTGTACTTGTTTATTCTTGTTTCTAACCTCTGGTCGCAGGACTGGCTTCTCGTCGGATATTCCACCGTGTATACTGCCTTCCCCGTTCTCTCCCTCGTCCTTGACAAGGATGTGGACGAAAACTTGGCGAATCTGTATCCGGAACTATACAAAGAGCTCACTTCCGGCCGATCCCTGTCTTATCGTACCTTTTTCGTCTGGGTTGCCGTTTCGATCTATCAAGGCTGCACAATCCAAGGCCTGTCACAGCTTCTGACCGAAGTCGACGGGCCCAAGATGGTGGCAGTTTCGTATACCGTACTAGTTCTCAACGAGCTCCTCATGGTCGCCATCGAGATCACGACGTGGCACCCTGCCATGATCATCTCGATCGTTGGCACATTTGTCATTTTCGTTGGCTCCGTGCCGTTCCTCGGTGGTTACTTTGATCTTCAATTCATCATCACTTTGTAAGTCATCTTGGCGTTCATGCCCCATAGGAATTGCACAGACTAACCAAACTCCAGGGGATTCATCTGGCGCGTCCTCGCCATCGCGGCGATATCTCTCATCCCACCCTACGCGGTGAAGCTCATCAGGAGGACGATGAAGCCGCCCTCGTATAGAAAAGTGCAGAGCACGTAGAAACCGCACCGGTGTGTTGTGTTGTCGTTGTTGTATGAGATCTTCTTTGTATCTATCTCCAAAGCTCTGTGTAAGGGCGTCTGGGATCGGTGTCAGCGAACGGGATCCGCGGCCATTCAAAGGGAAAGGCTGCTGCGGTTTTTGCATTATTAGGCGGAGTTTGACGGGGACCTGGGAAACTTTTTTTTACCCAACTTTGTACGGCATTTTTTGGATGGAACTATCGACAGCCCAGAAGAATTAGACAGCGTTATCGAAATTTGAGTTTATTGGGCAATGTCCTGCTCCTTTTGCCTCGGTGTGTTTTACATGACTCTGCTCTATGGAATGATGTACATGAACTCCCACTTAATGGAGAGTGTGTTTTTCTACAACTTGAGAACGATCCAATCCTTCAAGATATCTGGGTCCCGCCTCTGCATCGCGCCCAACATACCCCCCACAGGCCCTTGCAACTGCCCGCCATCCCGCCATAACTTGGCGCCAGCATACGCCTTGACGAAGCCCTCGGGCCCTGAAACCACAAAGAGGTTCTTGCCCCGTGGCGCGACGGCGTCGGCGGAGCAAGCGCAGTCGTCTTGCTTGAAGAGGCTTCTCTTCCCGGCGTTTGGCGCGCCGTCGACCATGCCGATGTGTGCTGTCTGGGAGTGGAATTTACAGCCTTCGACTGCGTGTGTCGGCGTATCGGCAGAGGTTTTGGGGGAGGGTTGAAGAGTGAGCGCCGCGGAGAGGTCTGCTTCGCGGACGGCGGTGCCTTCTTGGTCTACTACGACGCGGACGTCGAGCTTGTCGCCGTATTTCACCTTAAGGGCGAGGAGGTCCCTGCTTATAGGCGAGGGAGCGGCAAGAGTCTCTGCGGAAAGGAGAGACTCGGCCTGGGATCCGGGCGTGTTTGCTGATGATGATGAAAAGGGATTCCACCAGCTCCCCGACGATGATGACGAAGGCTTCACCTGCGGCGCCGCCGCCGCCGCAAATCCCCCGGCCAGCTGGTCCCGAATCTCATCGCGGCTCCTGACGGCCCAGAAGATAGTCATGGACGGGCCGTCGGGCAGCGGGAGAACGGCGTGCGCTGCTTGCAGTGCGCTGGCGATGCCTGTTCCGCCTGCGAGGAATACGACGCGGTCGCCTCGTTTGCCTAGGCGGGAGCGGAGGTCGAATTCGCCGTGGGGGCCGCGGAGTTCGACTTTGTCTCCTTTTGTTGCGGTGCCATCTGATGATGAGAGAGAAGAGGAAAGGGGTGCCAGACGGCTTAGGTACGTCGAGACTTCACCCCCTCGTACGGCGCGAACGTAGAGACGGAGCGTATCCTCGTCATACGGGGAGCCTGGGACGGGGGGCAGGGGCGTGTATTCCCTCGCGACCTGGATTTGGGGCTGTTTCACCTCCACGCACCAGAGGTCGAAGATGTCCCAGAGGGAGGACACGCTTGCGACGTTGCTGTTTCTGCTGCCGCGAGGTGCTTTGAGGGTTAGGATGAAGGAGGTCGGGGAGACCTGCTCGCGGGCGACGACGTCAAAGGGGATGAACTTGCGGGCTGGGCCGAGGGCTGTTTGGGCGGCTGGGTCGTTTGATTCGGGCGTGGAGGGGAAGAGCCATTGGGCGTCCCATGCTATGCCGCCTACTGCGAGGAGGATGAGGACGGGGAGGTAGCGGGGGCTTATGAAGGTGGAGGATTTGCGTTTGGGGGGGCGATGGGGTTGGGGGCCGGTTGAAGTTGTTGTGGATTTGAGGCGGTAATGGCGCGCTGTTGAGGATGAGAGTGCGGATGGTTGTGGTGTTGATGTTCGCCGGTGCGTCCAAGCGGAAGAGTGCCGTAATGGCTGGGTCAGGTGCGTTGTCGTTGACCGGGATGCGGCTGCGGCAGCCGGAGTGGCACGGAGCTGAGGTCGGATGTGGGTGAGTGAGCGCCCGGCGATCGGCCGGAGAGTCGCACCACCGGCAGAGATGAGCGCCGAGGCCCCCATCAGTTTCGGGATACAAACTGATTTACCGTAATGAGATCGTTCAAATTTGGTGTAGCTTTTCCAACATTTCCTGCAAGGAGGCGATGTAGCGGATGGTGACGAAAGTCGATGATGAAAGCTCCAAGTGGGCTAGTTCCGCTGGGCGAAGCTGAGTTGCGCACGGTCACGTGATTCGCTTGTTTAACCATCGCTCAAGAACACTTACACACCCGGGATCGATGCAGATACTCATTCCACTATACAGTGTTTCGACGTTGTATACACTACATTGGATTGGAATCTGAAATCCGATGGCTTTGAATATGCCGCCGTACCGTTGAATTTAATAGGGTATTGCGTAGATACCACATAAAGGTGATGCGAGCTCAGAAGTCCTATCAGATGCCTCAAGGCAAGACATGCAGCAATCGAAAACTTGCAGAAAATCGCGGTCTCCCTGATATAGAACGGAAAGATGTAAACGGCTTCAGATGGCTTCTCAATTCTTGAGCTTCAGGGCACTTCTAAAGGTAGACTATGAATAGGTACACTGGCAGCGTTCGGGAGACCTCTTGACCGGTCATGTACTCGTCAGAAGAAGGTCGAAAGATGCGCAGGTCACACACAGTGCAATCGGCAAAACTCCCTTTATCATCTTTATGTAGACCATAAATAGGTGCACCGTTAGCGTTCAGAATGTCTCTTCACCGTCCGTGACCACCGAAGAACACCACAAAAAGATATCCCAGATTCTATGCTTCAGCTCAAACATCAACTGGGTAGATTTCGGCCTTTGGACGCCCACACAGAGCAGGGAAATCATCAAGCAAGATGGAGGTGTCCTCCCTGCTACAACACTCGTGTTACAGACCGTATTCGTGGGCAAGGGTTCTTCAGTAACGGCGTGAAGAGTGATGTGAGATTGTCTAGTTGGTTTGAGCTACTAAAGACAACCCGATTCAACCCCGGGGGGGAAATTTGGTACTCGGCTGTCCAGACATGACAGGGCAATCATCAAGCAAGATTGAGGTATCCTTCCTGCCACGACACTTGTGTCCCCGAAGATATTTACTTACCAACATTCTTCTTCAACACATGAAAAGTGACATGATATTGTTGGTCTGATGACGATAATGCACTTGAACGCACAGAGTAAGCTTTTATTTGTTTAAGAGCACAACCAGCCCGATGCTAGCCTTTGACAAACGCAACTTTAGGACTACGACAGCAAAAAATGACGATGTGAACAAAAACGTCGACATCCTACCCCAATAGTCTTCAAAGGATAAAGTGAAGAAAATGATGTCAAGAAGTCTGATCAATCTGGCAATGAAAACATAGTAATACTCTCTATCAGAGCTTTGTACAGTCGAGATTTTCAATACCACACTCGCCTTCCCCCAATAGTATCCGGCTTTGCCCACGTATTCGTGAGTAAAAAGTCTCTATAAACGCCGAGAGAAGACATATGAAATGTTTGTGTTGAAGGTAACGCACATCACTAACGCCGTCATCAATGCCAAACCGTCTCTCCTCTACACCAGTCAGATACTACCGATCAATAATTCGCCTCCAAGGTTCGCCAGGTCCATGGATAACAGACCATCGTCTAGGCCACCTTTATATACAGACGGAATGATGTGCTCTGCTCAGATGATGTGAGAGCATCGCTGAGCGCGAATGCGAGATCCAGTGAGTGAACTCATCAGATCTACACCGACCTATCTACATCAGTGAGAGCCGTAACATCTTTGGGACTCAGGTACCAAGTTCTTGGTACGGGGCCTAGAGCCCTGGTCATCTAATATGCGAGTATCTCGCAGGCTGTCTTCGTTACGCAGAAAGGAGTTCTCCGGGACTGATAAACGACTGGGTCTAACAGTTGATCTCAAAGCCTCTGATGCTGAAACTTTTGAGAGTCTCTGGCTATAATACTCGAGCCTCCAGCAAGTCTGAGTACCTCAATCCCATTGTGCCACTGGGGAGATGTCCCGCACTCTATGTTATACTACAAGCAACTCTTACACTCAGCCAAATTCATCAGACAAACACACCCACCCTATCAGAGCCTGATGATCTTTCTATCCTCATCAATACCACCCCGGAACATGTCAGCAACGACGCGACCCCCGAGAACCGTCTCATTGACGATACCCTCAACGTGTTTCGGCTCAACCCTACCATACCAAATACCCTTCCCAGCCAGAGGATGCTTCTCCCCACCAGCCATAAGCTGCCCAGGCGGGATGTAGATGATGATGTTCCCCGCAAACTTGTGCCCGCCAATATGGCTAATCAACCCAACCCGCGCCGACATCTTCTGATTATCCCCCTCACCATCCCCGCCCTCAGCCGACTCAGGCGCCGCAATCCTCCCAGCCTCCCCCTCACCACTCTCATCAACCACAACAGGCCCCCTCAAAACACCAACCCCAACCCCCTTAAACCTCCTCTCAAACTCATCCCTCAACACGGGCCCCATGACGCCGCACCGCATATCCCGCCCGCCGTGCCCGCAAATCAACACGAGCACCTCCTTCACGTCCCGGACCCCGTACAGCAGCGACCGGTACGCCTCCTTGCGCGTCAGCCGGTCCCGGTGGATCGGCGACAGGCCCCCGTCGTGCATCCTGTGCAGCTTCTCCGGTAGGAGGTAGCCTTTTGCGAGCGCCTGGACGCTGTCGAAGCTGACGCGCGGTAAAAAGGGCACGTACTTGAAGCTCGGGAGGAGGTAGGCGCTCGTGGTCTGCAGCTCGCTCCGCTCGGGGACCGAGGAGGGGAAGGAGGCGTTTAGGGTTGAGATATTGTGCCAGGGCTGTAGTTTTGAGAAAAGGGGTTTCACTTACCGTCAGCCCAAGGTGTTCTCATATAATCTCATGTGAAAAACTTCGCGAGTGAGGGAAAGAAAGGGGGTGCATCTCTACAGTGACGGGAAGTATGACTACTGTCAACCTCGCTGGCTATTCTCCTGTAGAAGATACTGGCCATCGATCCTCCCCCGGGCATGTATACACTTATACATACCCTCAAAGCTGAAGGAAAAATGAGAAGATGGCATGAAAAAACTTACATCGCTATACGTCCCCCCGCGGCCAAACAACTCCTTTAAATCCGCCGCGAGGTTATCCCCGCTATTCTCCTCCTCGATCCTCGACACCCAGTCGTCCTGCCCCGTGCACACGAGCACCTGCTCAGCGTACCCCGAGACGACGCCGTTGAGCGGGCTCTTGAAGTCAATGTCCAAGCCCTCGGGCATCGCCGGCGTCGCGGCGCACTCGCAGGTCGGCGACGGACATGTCGGGACGAGCTCAAACGGCGGGGGAGGCGCCGATGGCCTGCTTGCCTGTGGCCTTGACTTCGGCTTTGGCGAGGACGATGAGGATGACCGGCTTACGCTGGTGGTGAGGGTGCGCCGCTGCCGCCGCGTCGGTAGCGATGACGTTGACGACGATACTGACGGAGATGAGAGCACCGCCGCGCGATACCCTCGCGTGAGACGCGGTGCGGCTCTCGCTATCGAATGCATCATGTCCTTTTGGATGCGTGATGTACGGATACGTCTCTTCGCCAATGCCAAGTGTGTCTCTTTCACTGTGCCGGAACTCCAACCAGATGCCGGCGTATACTCAGATGGAGTGGCGTCGAAACACCTCAGACAGAGCCGCGATCGACGTTACCAATCAAACAGAACGAAAGAAAAAACGGGTACGTTGTCATCAAAGGTACGTATTCGCACGATGAACAATACGACAGCTTTCCGCGGGATCGTAAAAAGCACCCAGGGAGGGAGTGCGAATTCGCAGATGAGGCGCAGATTGGTAATTGGCAATTGCAGACAGGTATCCATTTCGTCTCGGTAGTTGGTCACTCAAGGAGTCAAGGCCCCCCCCCGCCCCCCTGGACTGCCCCCCTCGGCGCTCGCTGCGGACCTTGGCCCCGGCGCCGAGCGGGAGTGAGAAGACCGGGACACCTCGAAAAGGCTACCCGAAACCCCCGGCGGGGAATTCTGGCAGCGATGCGATTCATGCGGATGTCTGATCACTTATCTTGTTAGTGGGCTTCTAGTGGTAATGTTAGGTAATCCCTCATTTCTCACTGGCGCGGCCGATAGCCGGCGGGGAGAAGGAGAGTCCACCGCCTGTAGGTTCCCTGATGGGTTTTTATTCCTGCGAACGGTTACCGCCGGCCGGCCGGTACTGAAAAGTTATGTCCGGCTGACACATCCTCTTATTCCGCTACGGATACAACTTCTATTCCATGATTCCATCTTTTCCCCCTCCCGCTGTCGTATGCGACTTTGCACGTGAAAGCAAATTTCCGCATCCGAACCCCGTACCCAAGGGGGGAGGAGTGTAGTGTAGTCCCTCCGCCAGGAGGCCGGGGGTGAGGGTGAGGTAAGCAACCCACCAGGGCCATGATGGATCATGGTAAGGTAGTTCATCCGCCTCGGAGCCGAATTTCGGATTCTGATCCTCCTGAGTCCCAAGTACCATGCTAAAAAAGGACCGAACATGGGAGAGTTCGGGCGGGAAACCGATTGAGTGAAAGACAAAACGAGCGCACGGGCAGAAAATGGTAGTGTAGCTTTCCAGGTTCTAGTGCGGGCGGGCGGGCGCGGGAACACCGTACGGAGTACCCTGGCCGAATCCATGATCCTATTTGATTTTCATCCGCTCATGTTCAAGGGTTCCACGGCCGGGGCGTGGGAAAGTGGGAGACCGAGAAACTAGATGGGCAATAGGTGTCCATTGTGGGAGAGTGAGGTGGTTGGAAGTAGAGAGAGAGAGAGAGAGAGAGAGAGAGAGAGAGAGAGAGAGAGGAAAGACGACGGGGCTAATGACGGATGGTCCTTTTCGTTTTGCCACAACTCTCTGCAACTTGCAAATTTCTGTAACCTTGATCAACTGACTTGCGCAGTAACGAACCTTGTCTAGTTGATCCTGCCTACGGATACCTAACTACCTTGATCTTGGCGACAAAAAGTCGTTGGAACGGAACGCAAGCGAACCAACGACGACCTGAATCGGGTTGTCGGACCGGTGAGGCGGACCACACACCGGTCGTGGAGACCAGCTACTCTAAAGTGCAGAAATACAAGAGTACTCTGGAGTAAGAGAGTTGTTGCCCCTCGGCATCCCATCCATCCCCCCCAGTGGAGAGTCCAATCTCGCGGTGCTGCACGAAAACAGATACGACATGCAATGCAATGCAATGCGGTGCCTTTTTTTCTTTCTTTCGCCTCGCTGTTGGTCTCGTCTCGGTAAATACAGCTGCAGGCTGCTAGAGAAGAATAGGAAGCAAAATAAGGAACTACAAAAAAAGTTCCAAACAACTAAACCACCGATACCCCTCTTCCCCCTTTTCTTTTCCTTTTCTTCCCGCACCCTTGGCTTTTAGCCTGCTGGATCTCGGGGGAGGGATCGGTTACTTTTCTGCCTTTTTCATCTCATCTTTTTTGCATCTTTTCTTTCTCGTTCCCCTGTTGTGTTGATTGTTCTGCATGGGTACGGTACTGCGGAGGGCTTGGATAGGAAGGAGCGGAAGACGAAGTCGTCGAGGGGTCACAAAAGTCAAGACCCAACTATGGTATCCGTACCCTTACTACATATTCACTAACAACAAGGGCATGAGAGATGGTCGGAGGAGAGAGAGAGAGAGTGAGAGAAAGAAGCGGCTTTTGGGAAGGGTGTGTGGTTCCCTCCTCCGATCATCTCCATCCTAACCACCTAACCTCCATCTCATCCATTTTATTTCATGATCCCAGTGGGCCATCATACATCGGATCCATTCGCGGACCACATTCCACCTTTTCGCTCGCTCGCTCCCTACCTTAACTCCCGCTCCCGAAAAGAGCCTCACAATGATTTGATTTCGCCCGGTTTTGGTAGTCGTGTGTCTTGCCTTTTTGGTTTTTTCCATGTCTCAAATCCCCCACTCCCACTCCTCCCCCTTCCCATGCCTGCCTGCCGGCTTTTTGCAAGACAAGGTCTCGGAAGCTTGGGCCATGATGTGCAGAGAGGTGCCCAAGCCCCATGGCAGTCTCACTCTACGGAGTCAAGTCAGACACGGACACGGGGGATGGGAAACACCGGATCTGAAGTTTCTCACTTTGAACCAGTACGCCATCGTGTTAGTGAACGGATACGGATCTATTTTATCTCTATTTGTTACTTTAGTGGACTGTTGGCGCGTCATTCTTTTGTGTGGTGTGTGAGCTATCCGTATCTATCTATCAATAGGTGATTGCGAATTCTCCGTTCCATGTGTCGCCATCGCCAAGCTTTTGAGGCCCCTTGATTAGATGCCGTTGACTTCCGGGCCGTGGACAACTGGACGACAATCATGGCCCTTTTCCCGCTTCACACTGTTCGCCGGGTGTGTGTGTGTGTGTGTGTTTGGTGATCAACCATCTTAGTGCATTCGTACGCTGCAAATCTTTCTTTGCGGTTGTTGCGCTCCAGTTGGGTGAGCTCAGTCTCGGGAGCGATACCCGGGTTGTGTGAGGTAGGTGGTGAATTGAGATGAGAAGTGAAATGAGAGAAATGTGGTTTGTTCGGTATCCCGTCGTTTAACACAAGAGTCCAGCCCAGCCCAGCCTATTTCGGCCCTGAAAGATTGCCGGGTAAATGTGCGCTGGAATGATGGAGGCTCTCTCTCTCTCTCTCTCTCTCTCTTCGCTGGCCCTACCCGTATAATGTAGCCATCGGCTGAGACGCCCTCTTTTAGTCTTTCTCAGCCCCAGCTCCTGTCTACCGCTGATCAGTTCAAGTACCTGAGGTAGAGTTGCATCCCGGGATTTAGACGCACCGTTGAGAAGCCGAGCCGACACATACCGCATGCCGCCTTCCGCATGCCAATCATGCGACTGACCTGAGACATGCAGACAGATCCCTCCGCCATTCTGCAGTGTTCACGGTACAAAGGGATGACATAGGGCAGATGGAGACTGTGTTGTGCGTGTGTGTGGTTCAACCAAAGTGCGTGGGTGGTGTGTTCCCATCGCCCCTCTTTCGTCTACATGCTGTAGGGTATCGTGTTTAATGCTAAGTTGCCAAGGGTGTCCATCATAGGCTGCCTGCCAACATATTCTCAACCACACGTCCTGTTCCTCTTCGCGGCTGTGCTCGGTCGAAGTGTTGCTTCCATGGATGGATATCCTCATATACAGGGTATATAATGTTACATAGATGAACGAGAGCAAATTGTCTGCAAATACAGCCATATGTTGTCTCTCTGATCTCGTGTAAAAAAGAAAAAGAAATACATAGCAATTGTCCAAATGCGCCCCAAACGCCCTGAAATGCAATGCAGATGTGAAAATGGTAGATATATAAAACAACTGGTTGCGGAAATGTATGTCTGTTAACCCCGTGTGTATACAATGTCCACAACAGGCGAAAATGTCGTGTTCATTGGATCCTCCATTTGCCAACATTTCCCCAGAGGGATAATGTTGTCTTGGCCCTCGTTCTCGTTGTCGAATACTTTGCTGCCAACGGGAGGTGCTGCTCCAGGCTGAAGGTTTCGCAAAAGACGCAGAGCGTCCTGTCGATGTTCCAGTGCAGATCGGTGAATGCGTGCCTCATCCCAAACCGTACTTGCAGCTTCGACTATAGCGCTTGCAATGGCCAATTGGTCCAAAAGCCCAGGGAGTTCTGACAATGAACCCTCGGCAGTGAGAACGTCAGCGGCTTCCAGTACCGCATGGCTCATGAACGGAGGAGGCGCGCTCAGCGGGGTTCGCCGAGCTTGGAGTAGTACTTCCAACATGCCCGTGATTTCCAGTACTTGTTTCGCTTCCTCTTGGATCCTTGACAGGTATTGCATCCGCATTGCTGCTGATATTCGGCCTGAGGAGTACGAGTGCCGGTGGACCTTTACGAGACCGTGGTGGAACAGAAGATGAATCGTAAGGAATGTGCTGAGAGTTCCATGCTGAGCAGCCAGGTCCATATTGCTTGGGTTGTAAATAAACTGTCCAGGAAGCGATTCGCGCCAGCTGACTAGCCTCCCGACAGAGCTCTCAACAAACGCTGCTGACACTCCATTCGAGGGCAGACTGTGCTCATTCCTGTACACGCTAGACATGTTGTCTCCCCAAACGGCCACAATTTGGATGAGATAGGCCGGTAAGGCTAAGCGTTGATCCGCCATTTTGGACGAGCTCGAAGGGAGCGCCGGGAAGAAAGGTGCCTGAGAAGCCTGTTGACTTTGAAAGACATCCAGTTCGCATGGCAACCGGATGAAAATGTCTAG